GTTAGTCCGGCTACCTTCAGTTTTTGAATATTAATTTTTAGGTCCGATTTACGCAAAACGAGCTTATAGTATCATGAAGTCTTGCAGTGGTATGCTTAGGTTTGGGTTTAATTTTGTTAATTATAGGATCCCAAGCAGGTGGCAGCACCCATCCATCTTCGCTATTGAAATTTGGATGTTTTTTAATTTCAATAGCCTCGCGTATCATCCTTGGTAGGAATCGGTGTTCTTTTGCGAGAATTTGTGGTTTATCAAAACGAATGTAATGGTGGGGACGATCTTGAACATGTTCGCAGACTACAGACTTCCCGGAGCGTCGGTGCGTCACGTCAGCTATATGTTCTTTCACGCGGGTTTTTATGGATCTTTTTTGTTTGACCTATGTAAGAGAGACCACATTCACAATCTAACTTGTACACTCCTGCATCTTGTAGAGGGATATTACACTTTACGGATGGTAAAAATTGACTAATCTTCTTCGGCGGCTTGTAGTATGTTTTAATAGAAGCTCGCTTCAAGATGTAGCCAACCTTGTCTGTGACTCCTCTGACATATGGTAGTACAGCAGGTACACGCTCGACTGTGGCTGGCTTCACTCGGTCACTGTGACGTAGGCGCGGGACCCGAAGCTTGTTGTCTTGCAATACTTGCTTGACGTGCTGAAGTTCGGCGGCCAGATGTTTTCTGTCACAGATCCCTCGTGCTCTCTGAAAAAAAAAAGTAAAAGTAGTGAAATAAACGCGATAAAATCCGTAAATTTAGTTTTATTCAATGTGTAGTGTTCGCGTAAATTTAAGAAATCATTAGGATTTTTATTTATATCATCTGTTAATTTCATCTGTCTCTTGAGTCAGCGATCACAGTGATTGAAGCGCGCTAACATCGGAGTTGTTTGCAATTATTTCGTAACAATTTAGATTGATTGTGTGGTTAATTGTGTTAAAACAATGCCTGGGTAAGTAGCTTTCCTATTTGTAACCATCATTTTGTGTTTTATCTCCTTTAGTACGTGTGAAATTTTTTAATTTGTATGAAACAAGCCGTTGTCTTAGTACTAACATGCATGTTGCGGAAATATAATGATTTCTTATATTTACGCGAACACTACACATTGAAATAATACTAGTTTTTACGGAATTTATCGCGTATATTTAACTTTTTTAATTGCCCGACGTTTCGAGAGCTTTACAGCACCCATGGTCACGGGAAGGACTGAGATGTTCAACGTCCAGCTGTCATAGTTAACCGCGGTTACCATAGATTAAAATTTAACTTTTGTTCCGATCTACACAGTATGAACTTATGGTATCATGGAGTCTTGCAGTTGTATGCTTGGGTTGGGATTTAATTTTATTTATTATAGGATCCCAAGCAGATGGTAGCACCCAGCCATCTTCTCTATTGAAATTAGGATGTTTTTTGATTTCAATAGCCTCGCGAATCATCCTTGGAAGGAATCGGTGTTCTTTAGCGAGGATTTGTGGTCTATCAAATCTGATGTAGTGACGGGGGCGATCCTGTACATGTTCACAGACTGCAGACTTCCCGGAGCGTCGATTCTTCACATCAGCTATATGTTCTTTGACGCGGGTTTTAATGGATCTTTTAGTTTGTCCTATGTAGGAGAGACCACATTCACACATCCACATCCACATTCACATATGGCTGCACAGCAGGTACACGCTCGACTGTGGCCGTCTTCACTCGTTCTCTGTGACGTAGGCGCGGGACCCGAAGCTTGTTGTCATGCAAAACTTGCTTGACATGTTGGAGCTCGGCAGCCAGGTGTTTACTGTCACAGATCCCTCGTGCTCTCTGAAACAAAGATTTACCCACGGTAGCTAACTGTGAAGGATGGTGGTGAGAATCACCGTTTAAATATCTATCTGTATGGGTCTTTTTTCTATACACAGTATGGCTCAAGGTGTTATTTTGAACATCTCAGTCCTTCCCGTGACCATGGGTGCTGTAAAGCTCTCGAAACGTCGGGCAATTAAAAAGTTAAATATACGCGATAAATTCCGTAAAAACTAGTATTATTTCAATGTTGCGGAAAGTTGAATTCAAATGTATGTAAAATATTAGTGTGCAGGCTAGTAGTGTAGCAGGCATAAAATATTATACTTCCTAAAGTAAGGCTTACAACCTTCTGTGTTTTGTATATTAGCTACGATTCGTATTAGTTTTTTTTGTTTAGTTAATAAACTTGAGGCATCATAGTACTGCATCCCCATAGGATATTGCCGTAGCTGAGCCATGTATATGCATGACGCGTCGCCTGTAACAAGTGGTTTCATTCCCCTATCCATCATTATTAGGCCTACTAGTGTGTGCTCGTTAACTGTATCTATAGTGAAGCCGTCATTGTCCATCTATAATATATCTAATTTTGGTTTTTGATATGGGTGAAAAGACATTATTTTAGTTTTCGATAATTTTATCCGCAGGTTATGTTTAGTAAGCCAGTCCGTTGTTCTTAATAATATGTTGTTAATTTTCTGTTAGATTCATTGGACTTTGGCTTGATATAAGAATAGAAATATCTTCCGCAAACATGACACAATATTTCTGCAGAGCTTCTGCAAAGTCATTAATGCAAATTAAAAACATAAGACACCCCAGCACGCTGCCTTGAGTTATTGAGGCATTAATAGTTTTAGTATCGGATCTAATTTTTTTCAGTTTTGTGTAATTTGTCATTAAAATACCCAATTTCTACTATTTGCAATCTATTGTGTAAATATAATTTTAACAGATTGTAGCATGGGCCTCAGATTCCTATATCATATAATTTATTTAGTAATATGTTATATTGCACTGTATCGTAGGCTTTTCACACATCTAGTAGTACTTATATAGCATATTTTTTATCGTTAATTATATCATGTATTTTTGAATGTAATTATAAATTGCTAGAACTGTTGATTTGTTTTTGCGGAAACCGTTTTGATTTTCATTAAAGATATATTTTCGCAAAATTTATAGATACGTTAGTATAATGCTTTCTCAAATATTTAAGAGGCTGTGGGCAATGAGGTAATAGGTCGTTAGTTGCCTGTGTCCGTTTGTGTACCTTTTTTATAGATGGGTTTCACAAGTGAAAGTTATAGTATATCTGGGAATACGCCTTCTTCAAAATATTGGTTTACTAATAATGTTAGTGGATATACTAAAGAGCTTACACATTGTTTAAACAATGTGGGGGGAATCTCATCAACACCATAGCTTAGTTGATTTTTTAGACCATTTAATATTTTAAGTATTTCTTCAAATCCTACTTGGCCTATAAATATTGAGTTTTCTGATGGATGTAGAACAGAAGACCCTTTTCTTGTGAATGAATTGTTTCACCGATATTGGAGAAGTAATCATTAAATTTATCGGCGATCTGTTTCGGATTAGAAGAAATTTGGTTGTTGATATTTAATTTAATATTTGATTTAACCTTTAAGTTTACTTTGTGCTTTCTCGAACAATATGCCACATTGTTATTATGTTACTGTTAGTCTGCTTTATCTTGTTTATATAGTGTAATTTTTTTGACGTTGTTATAACCCTTTTTAATACTTTTTCATATTTTTATAATAATCTGTAATATTTTTTTTATTTGACCTTATAATGTGCGATTTAAGTAATCTTTTGATATAACAAGACTTTTTTATACCAACGGTAAGCCAATGTTTTTATAGTTGTTTTTTATTTTCATTACTTTTTTTTTGGTATACAATTATCTAGAATGTTAATTAAAGTTTGATGAAATATATTATAGTTATCGTTTAAGCCTTTGTTTTTAATAAGTTTATTTTCCCAATTAAGCGATTCCAATGCAAGTTTAAATTTTTCTATATTTTGTTTTATTGTCTTTTTTCGGTGTACCATATTTTATGTTTATTTTGTTTAGAAATACCTATGGTCGGACAGGCCCAATTCTTACACAGTTATCCGTAGGTTTGTATCGCTAAAGTTTATATAAGTTAAATTTAAGCATGTTGAAGTTGGTTTTAGTGACACGTGTTGGACTCTGAATTTGTTGATGAAGGTTATATTGGAGCATTAAATCTGAAAGTTTTTCTTTTCGTTTTGTCGTTTTTTATATTTTTTGCAGCGTGTCGAAATTGAAATCGCCGCATAATATGATTGTCTGTTTAGAAAATTTCTTATTTATGTAATGAAGAATAGTTTTTATTTTTTCGTAAAATAAATTATAGTACAATGTCAACAAGTTAGTACTATTATAGTACAATGTCAACAAGTTAGTATTATATTTTACAAGCTCTACTGCACAAATTTCCACTACATAGTCAATTGACATATTGGAAATTTCTTGTAATTATAAATATTCTATTCCGTTTTTCAGCAGGATGCAGACGCCGCCTTTAGTGCGCGATGTTCAACAATACGATGCGGCTACTAGAGCGTCGGTTTTATAATGGAACTTTGATTCTATATTGTGATTCTATAAAAATCTTGGATTGAAATTGGGTAAAACTATGAACTAGAAATTGCAAATTACGTCTTAATAATTTTATAAAGTTATTTTCGGTTTACGTAATTATGACCACATGATATATTCTTATCGTTCAAAGCTTAAATGGCTACGTATACGTAAAAGGCGATGCTTTACAATTTTCTTGAAATTTATTCAATTTTAAACAATCCAAAGTCGCCTTATTATTTTAATTTTCTTCATTTGACAATCAAATTGTCTGAGGAAAACGTTTCCATAGCATAAGTTTAACTTTTTTCCTTTCCATAGATCCTCTTCTACGATACAGGCTATAAAAGTTTGTAAAACCCTCTACAATAATAAGGTAGCTCTTAAGGTCAGAAATAAGTAATGGATCTGTCATACGTATTATCAGTAAAATATTTTTAATACCCTACCGTCTTACATACGCCACATCAGTAAAATAGTTATGTTAAGTATCTGTCGTTCATGACCTCAGCAATATGTTTCTTTATAATTTTAATGACCTATGTTTTTGTTTCTATCTATATAGATGGCGAGTTCCAGTAATTCGAGGAAGAGAAATCTTACAGGAAAATTACTTGAACAATCACTTGAACAGTGGTTAGAAGAAGATAATGAGCACGAGTTTAGTGATGTAGACGACGAAGTATTTGGTCAAAATTTTACAATTGAAGAAGAAGAACTTGTTGAGAGTGAGATTTCAGAAGTCGAAGAAATAGAAATTGAAACATCGAGTGAAGGGACAAATCGTTCTACTAATACACCTGACTCGAACCGCAATTGTTATCGAGGTAAAATAGCTTTGTTTGGTCAGTTACTGACTTTTTAAGGACATAGCGAACACTAACTCGTAACATTGTGTCTTTACCTAGACAAAACCCTGATCATACGAGATTTCCTGGTTATGAAGTACTCTGGCTGAAGCTTCTTGATGACAATATGATAGAAACAATAGTTTTCTGTACAAATAAAAAAATTTAAGTTTACCGCCGCCAGTTCTCTAATTATTCGAAACACGAGCTGAAGAAATTCGATCTATACTGGGATTATTATACTATTCCTCAGTATTCAAATGTAACGATGCTGATTCAAACTATTTGTTTGCGACTGATGGAACAGGTCATGAAATATTTAGATATGTCATGTCTAAATATAGATTCAACCCACTTTTGAATTTTTTGAGGCTGGACAATATTGATGACCGACAGGAGCGCTTAGAAACTGACCCTCTTGCTGCTGTTTCTGGATTTTTTGATTAATTTATCGCAAATTGTCAAGCAAATAACACACCTGGTCCATACACCTGCATTTACGAAATGCTATTAGGCTTCAAAGGTCGCTGCAAATTTGTCATCTACATGCCAAAAAAACCCGCTAAATATGGAATCAAGATAATGGTCTTGAGCGACGCCCGGGAATCCTACGTATATAGCGCGTACATTTACCACAGCAAAAGTTCTGATGGTATAGGTCTCCCGGAGGCTGAGAAAAAGCTTTCTGTCCCTACACAGTCTGTAGAACCAGAGAAAATCGTTATGTGACAGCGGACAATTGGTTCAGCTCAATACCTCTGGCAGAAATGCTATTGAAAAAAGGACTGACATATTTGGGAACATTAAAAAAGAACAATCGAGAAATACCTCCAGAGTTTATGCCAAGTAAAAACAGAGCTGTTGAAAGTTATCTTTATGGTTTTACAAAAAACCCCACTTTGTTATCATTTGCCCCAAAAAAAGAGAAAGCCTTCATACTAATTTCTAGCTATCACGACAGTGCTAGTACGGACACAGAAACTAGAAAACCGACCATAATAGTTGATTATAATCTCACAAAAGGCGGGGTCGACGAAATCCATAAAAAATGTGCGATATATTCCTGCAGTCGTAAAACGAGACGTTGGCCACAAGCTATATTTTATCGAGTACTAGGTATTGCTGGCATCAATGCATATGTACTTTATGGTCAATGTAAAGGTGCGAAATTGAGAAGAGGAGATTTCCTTATGCATATATACAGAGAACTAGTATTACCCGCAATGAAACAGCGAGTTTATAATGAAAAACTCCCAAGAGAATTGCGACTGACTCTGCGACGTATACTAGGACAGGACTTGCCCCCACCACTTTTACCAGTCTTCTAATGAGCCTAGTACATCATCACGAAAATTATGTCGCATCTGCCCAAGTAAATTGAAGCGACAAATAAGATTTGTTTGTTGTATATGTGCGAAACATATTTGTTTGCAGTGCTCCTCGCTTTGTGTTGACTGCAAGACTGAAATTTGAGACTGATTATAAAAAATCACTATAAGGATTTTTATAAATTAAGTGTTTTTTTTTTATTGTTTTTTGAAGCTTGAGGAAGGCAACGTTATTTTTTTTTTGTTATTTCTTTTAATTTTATTCTTTTTCTTGATTATCAAAGTTCTCATTACAAATGTTCCTATAATTCATAAGGTTCCGGTAATAAATAATATTTTCTTAAAACAATGGTTTTATTGGTCTGTTTTTTACAATGGCTTAAGAAATATAATGTAAACTTTGCTAAATTCAGTTTTATTTTCAATAACTAACAATAAAATTTGAAAAATCCTTACCTAAAGTATACGTCTGACAGGCTACTCCTCAGTAGAATAATTACAAGAAAGGCACCTCAGTAGCAGAGGGCAACAAATAAAAACTCCTTCAAAATTCAGCATTCATTCATTCAATTCAAAATTCATTAGTAAGTAAGAAAGGCACCTCAGGAGCAGAATGCAACAAATAAAAACTCATTCAAAATTCTTCTACGACAACACTACCTAAGTTATAAGAAATAAATTTTACTGTGCTTATAGTCATTTGTAACCATTATTAAAAGTACCACGTCTCTGGGCTCAAAGTATTTTCAAAATGTAAATACGGGTTTCATTTTGTTAATACTCATATTTAAAATAAGAAAAACAAAGAAAATTTGACGGATAATAAACGTAATGTGGAATAAGTCGTCACGTCCGTGGGCTACGACCACATAATCCTAGACCCATCCTACATGTGTCCTCCGGGTAGTGCTAAACGAGCGACAAGCGAAGTACGGCAAGGAGCCGAGTACAGACTCGGCTCCTTGCCGTGTTAAATATATTGTTGCGCGTCTAAGTTGACGTCATGTACCCGGCACTAGAGCCATCTGTGTCGGGTAACGGAGCGAGGAGAGCTTTCCAGAAAATGACATCTTTCAACCGACAGCGCCATCTAGTATCGAAAGATAAAGAAAAGAGAAGAAAGAACTGAGCTTTCTAGAAGCCCGACACTCGAACTTTCGGCGCCTAGTCGATTGGCGCGCGTATTTACTTGAATATTGTGGATGTTTCGGTGATAATGTGTATTTAAAGGCACTGCAAGATGCGATCGGGGAAGTGTTGAATTCGGCGAGACAAGCGAAGCTCCGGAGCGAAATAAAGTGAATCAGTGTGGTTAATTATTAGTTTTAATTAGTGTGAAGTGAATTAAAGAGTTAAATTTGGTAATTCAATTGGCAATTTTTATTGTCACGAACCTCAAGCTCGTACCAATATATATATATATATATATATATATATATATATATATATATATAATCAAAAATCACACAACGGTCGATCGCTAATCATCCCGTTGATATGGATGGTATCGCAAGTTTTATCGCGATGTGTGATGTGGAAATTGAGCGGTTGCAGTTAGTCCGAAGATTCTTCAGAGTATTACCAGCGGTAGATGTAATAAAATACGCAAAGAGATGCAACATCTATCCGCAGTACCAGTGAGTCAAGCCGATCATAAAGAACTCAGTTGCCAACGTGTCGAACCGCACTGCATTCAAATCAAATGGAAGGAGCTGGCACTGGGAAGCCTCTGCCCAGAGATGGGAACAGTATTCCATGTGAGGCCGAACCTGCGTTGGAAAATTGCAAATGGTGTACCCGGCATGAAATACCGCTCCGTTCTGCTGAGCACAACAAGCTATTTAGAGGCCAGTTTAACTTGACCATCCAAATGACCATAAAACTGCACGTCAAAAAATAAGCAAACTACCCATACATAACGTGAGATTTATTTGTTAAGGTCAGCCGTAGGCTTGAAGCCTTATTAAAGAGTAGACGCAAATTTAAAAATCATATAATTAAAACATATTTTATAACATTTTTTTTTTCAAAGATTTGATATATCCGAATGAACAATGATGTAGTTAGAAGCATCCTAACGTATTCTGAATAAAAGGATATATGCTGTCCATTTTCTCAATCTTGAAGTAATAAAAGTGATAGTGAATGAAGAACCAACACTGGGTGGCATGGAGTAGTGGATAATCTTACGCCGCAACTATATGGCAAATAGACTCCAGTATAATTCAAGGGATGCTGAAGGAGGCGACGGGAAGGAACTGGACTAGAAGTTGGGCAACAACATCTTTCTAATAATAACTAAACAAATATACCTTCAGCTGTCATTTAGTCTATAACCAGTGATGTATTACGGTGTATTGAGTTATAGGATGTGGTATTGGGTGAGATCACATGGTCCCGAGTTCAAAAATCAAGTTGTCTGTGTTTAACCTGTTTGCTTAGGAACGTATATAAAGCTGTTGGACCGGTCTATTTCAAGTCGTGTCGAATTGCTCTTTCATTCATAAGAGATTACACCTGGACTGGTCCTAATTTTCATGCATTATGATCCTGTCCAGTGCAGATAATTATTCTTCGTTGAGACTGACCACCGTGGCCGTAAATTGGCTTGAAGAAAATATTATTACATAATAAACTATATAAAAATTAATAAGTTCACTTTAGTCGTATTCAAAAGGTGTTTAAAAATTAATTTGTTTAAAAGATAAAGTTAAGCTTTGTATTGTACAAAGATGTTTGTCGCGTATAAAAGGAGATGTATTACACAACATATAAAATGAGGATTCCTTAAATGTAAAACGTTCCACACCATTCCGAGAATCATTTTAACCTCTATAAAAATGTTAGTTCCCTTTTCATTACATTTTCGAACATGGTGTTCTTGTTCAAGAGTATGAATATGAACTTTTAGGCTGCTTACTTTAAGATTCAATTTCAACGGTTTTTCGGGTTTATTTTACTAAATGTCCGACCTACCCATTTCAAAGAGCCCGTTTTCAACGTTCTAAAGTACTTTGTTTTCATAATCATGTACTATGACACCTTAATATAAATGTTTCTGTTGAATCAAAAACATATGAGATGGTACATATCTAATAACCATAGTCATTTATCGATCGTTACATGTTGAATGTACTTTTCTCAAAATTAAATAACTTATTAAACTAAAATATATAAAAGACTTGTGCATATTCCATGAAAGATAACTAGCTTAATCTGTGTACATAATTCCGCGTTCATATTTTATAGAACACCATTATTCCTTTACCACTACATGCGATTTTCTCTTATTTCCCCTAACAGTAATATTAATACAACTCACCGCCAGTGTAATTTCATCTTCTTTATCCTCTTGCGTGCTTACAAAATGTAGTCAAGCTAACAGCCGTGCAGGTGATTCAAACGGACCTAACAAAGTTGGCTTGTGTAGACTGATACTAAGGTCCTCTTATCCCGCAGGATAATAAGTTGCACTTGTACAGTTAATATGTGGAAATTTTTACATTACTTGGGTTTCCGTGATAGTACAGTTATTAAAAAAAAAGTTTAAAAATTCGCTCATAGCTTTCAAAGTTAGGTCTTTATTTCTTCGAAACACTGTACCTTAGTGAGTATTTTGCGTCCGGCCAGTACAAGATGGTTATAAAGCCACATTTCGGAACCATAAGATCTTTCTGTAGTTTCGTACAGTCACCTCTTATGATACATACAGAACAAATATGATGATAGACTGTCAGCCACCCCTACAATTTACATTCACATAGCAATAATTATTACCGATTTCTTTTATTAGCAAGTTTTTGAGAAGAAAACCTCCTTTTTATATTTAAATGCGTTTGACTGTGGTGATGCTGTCTGTGGCTTAGAGTAATAAGTGCTTAATACTTAGTCTCCTCATAAGCTCTCAAAACCTTATTATTTAAAAAATTTGAATCGTGGCTAGATGAACTTCACCAAATTTAAAAAAAAACGTTTGCGCTTGCCGAAAAAAACACTTTAATCTTTATTCATTTTCAAATATGGAGTGGTCGAAGAAAGACGATAGAGTAGCGGTTATCGCGTTGCACCGCTGTGGTTGCGCACCGAAGGAGATTTTCAATATTCTACAAAAATTGAAAATAAACCTACGATTTGCTTATCGCCAGTCGCGCAGCCGCAGTCGCACGCGGAACGGCAAAGCGCTACATGTGTTCGCTTTGAGCGTAAGCGAAAGGTCATTGTACGATAAGACAATGGCGTCCAAAGTGGTAAAATGTACAAATTGTAATATTGTGATAAGCGAAGTGCTTGCCTTTATACAAAACAAGGCAGATGTGATGGACGAGGAGAGCATTGTCCGAATTTGTAGTAGTGCCTTTACAGCTGAAGATATTACTAATGCAAAAAGTTTGCTTTTCGAGTCATTGCCCTCAGGTAAAAGAAAAAATATAAGACGTAGAGATGGAAAATTAACTCGGCGTACAGATGGGAAATCCCAAAGGGAGTTAGAAGACATCATTAGTCTTTTCAAAGAAACAGACCCTGATAGTGCACCCATTTTTGTTGCTCGTGACCTACAAAAACTTCCGCCGGTCACTTTCGATCATGTAGATGTAACTCGACTGCTGAAGGATATAGTTCTGTTGCAACAGGAGGTTAAGATCATCAAGGATAATTATGTAACCAAGACGCACCTAGAAGAGCTAAAGAAAGATAAATCTTTCTTAAAAACATCCACATCACCAGCTCATCATCATAAGGTAGGTAGAAGGTGCAGTGCATTCTTGTTGGATGTGGGTACTACGTTCGGCGACAGTGGGCCGATGGGCTTGTCGCACGAGTTATCAACAGCTGATGTACCGTTACAAACAACTGACGTACAGACAGAGACGGAAAAGATAGCTATCGCACAAGTAGCTAGTCGTGCTCGTGATAGTGTCGATGCACTCGCACCTGTGTCAGATATGCATAAGGCTGACCTCTTTACATCTGGAGGCGTGACTGCTTATAACGGTGCGGATGGGCGGCAATCATTCAGCGCAGGAGGCGCTAAAACAACTCAATTCCAATGCAGAACTCACCGAGTAAAAGCAGGATGAATGATGACAAAACAATTGTAGTGAATAAGTTCTCTAACAATAATAACGCAATAAAAGATACATCTTGTGATGGTAATTTTCAGTCTTCGCTAACTATGGCCGAAATATTGAAAAAAGGTGAAGCTTGGAAAAAATGAAGAACCGCCAGAGGCCTGGATAAAAGTTCAAAAAGCGCAGATTGCGTAACCGTTTTATAGGTAAGACAGGAAAAGCAGAAATAAAACCTGAGGAGAAATTTAAATCAGCGGACTTGAAAATTCCGCTATTTATATCTAACGTACATAGAGAGACGCTAGAAAAAGATATCGTTGATTATATTAGGAATAAAACTAACGAGTTAGTGACACTAGAAAAAGTGACTATGAAAAAAGATAAAGGATATAATGCGTTCAAATTATACGTGTCCAAACAAAAACTTGCTGTCTTTTTAAATGACAGTCTTTGGCCTGACTGCATCTCATTCAGAAGATTTGTGCATTTTAATTACAGACATCAGGAGACATCAGATAATGTGTAAAAAAAAAAAAAAAAAAAAAAAAAAAAAAAAAATCGTTCATGTATAGTACGGCAAAATTTACTACTTTTAACTGCAAATCTGTTAAACGCTCTTTGGAATGCGTAAGACACCTGTGTGAAAAGTCTGACGTGCTAGCGCTACAGGAGACATGGCTTCTACCTGATGACATAACGTTTCTGGGCGAGATACATCAAGACTTCAGCTATATCGGTAAGTCAGCGGTTGATACGTCGTCCGGTATACTCACAGGCAGACCCTATGGTGGTGTGGCCCTCTTGTGGAGGAAAAATGCGTTTGATTGTGTCAGTGTGGTCGAATGTAGTAGTGTGCGTCTCACAGCAATTAAAGTGTTCCATAGTGAACGAACTTACATAATATTCTCGGTTTATATGCCAACGGATTCAGTAGACAATTTAATAGAATTTACATCGTGCATGAGCGAGATAAGTGCTATTATTGAAAATGAAAATGTCGACTCTGTATTTGCGTTAGGTGACTTTAATTCTCATCCCGGTACATTATTTTGTAACGAAATGATAAATTTTTGCACGGATCAGCAGTTGATTTGTGTTGATTTGGAGGTCCTCCCAGCGGGCAGCTATACTTACACTAGTGATGCGCACGGTTGTCGGCGCTGGTTGGATCATTGCGTTGTAACTGAGGCCGCAAGGCGCTCAGTCATAGATGTCACTGTGCTGTATGATACCTACTGGTCGGATCATGTTCCATTGCTGATCGAGTGCAATATTAACTTATTGAGATCAAAAAATATGGTAAGCTATTTCTGTAATAATAAAATAATTTGGGGTGTCAGAAATAATAATCAAATAGAAACTTATAAAAAATTGTGTCACTCTAAATTAAAAGACGTAAATTTTTCCACAGGAGTTTATGAATTGTTGTAATAATATATGTATTAATGATAATCACAAATTAATTTTTAGATAACATGTACGGTAATATTGTTACTATTCTTAGAGAATCAGCTCAGGCAAGTTGTAATAACAAAAGGAATAGGAAATATGTTGTGGGGTGGAATAAATACGTTAGAGACGCCCACGGGGAGGCTCGACTTGCCTTTCAAACGTGGGTCTTATACGGTAAGCCATCTTCGGGTTATTATTATAATAAAATGTGTGAAACAAGACGGAATTTCAAGTCAAAGTTAAAATGGTGTCAAAATCACGCAGAGCAATTAAGAATGGATAAGATCGCATCAAGTCATTCGCAAAAGAAATTTAAAGAATTCTGGAATCTTACGAATAAACTGAATCCCAAGTCGAGCCTTCCCGCTAATATTCAGGGTCACAACCAGCCTGGAGACATAGCCAATCTATTTAAAGAGCATTTTAAAGTAGAGTCACCGCGGGGTCCGTCATCGAGTTTAATCGATGGTGGACGTTTTGCAGGTAGATCGTGTGTAAGGATCTCTGCCAAAGAAGTTTTTGAAGTAATTAATTCTATGACTAGAGGTAAGTCACCAGGGCATGATGGGCTTAGCATTGAACATCTGGTACATGCTGGTGCCCATCTGCCAAGAGTGTTGCTATGTTTCTAAGTTTATGTATAGCTCATCAATATCTTCCGACTGATCTCATGAAGACAATTGTGGTGCCTATCATTAAGAACAGAACAGGAGATATATCAGATTTAAATAATTACAGGCCAATCTCACTAGCCACCATAGTGGCTAAGGTGCTGGACGGTCTGCTTGACAGGAAATTGAGAAAACACATTCATCTGCATGATGCTCAATTTGGGTTCAGACCTGGACTATCCACAGAGAGTGCAATTTTATGTCTTAAGCAGACTGTTCGGTACCACACAGATAGGAAAACGCCGGTGTATGCCTGTTTTTTGGATCTATCAAAAGCTTTTGATCTAGTCTCTTATGACATTTTATGGCGAAAGTTACAGGAGGAGACTGACTTGCCCCAGGAAATTGTCTCCGTATTTAAATATTGGTATAGTAACCAAATAAACTATGTGCGATGGGGTAGCAGCTTTTCTGAGGGGTATGGGCTGGAATGCGGGGTGAGACAAGGAGGGTTGAGTTCGCCTACGCTTTTCAACTTATACATAAACCAGTTGATTGTGGAGCTCAGCAGCACTAAGGTCGGTTGTTCTATAGACGGAGTTTGCATAAATAACATAAGCTATGCAGATGACATGG